AAGGCTATATTTTCCGCATTTTACAACATTTTGCAACGAAACTTTGGAATATTACTAATTTTGTGATGCTCCTTCAAGCTGTGATGAAATTTTTGTCTAGACTTGTTTAGTTCAAAATTTAGTCTATTACGCAAATGGTCAATTGCAGACATTAAGCATGCCTATACATATAGACTATATAGTACTATATGCTCATATTACATATAGTTTGAAAATTTATCTACTTGCTCAAATCAGCAGCAACCTTCCTAAGATTCTGATATCAAATTAAAATTGATATTTCATTGGGAGAGGTGTAATTGCACCAGTCAATATGAATTAAAATATGTTAGCCTTTATAGTGTAATGCCAGGAAAATTCTCCATATTTTTTATGAAATTAACATTTAACTATGTGATGGTACAGTATATTCAAGTTAACGAGACTCTTTACTTACATTTCACACTAACTCGTTAGGATGAATATGCTCAACTTTCAGTACTTTTTTATTTTACCTTGTCTAACACCAGATCAAATATTTTACTTGTGAAAGAGAGTGGACAACTTTGATAGGTTATCTTGCTCAGTGGCGTAACATTATATCAAGGGGCCCCCGGTTCAAACTTTTCGAAGGCCCCCCTAGTAAAATTGCCAGAGCCACAAGTCGAGCGCCGTATATACACAAGTTTTCTAGTGGGTCCAGAGCATGCTCACCCAGAAAATATTTGAATCTAGACTCTCTGAAATGCCATTTCCCAGACTTTGGGGAGAGATTTTACAGAATTCTGATGGTCAGAGAATGACATTGTTGCTCTATAGGCTATAGCCTGAGCCTGGGGGCCCCCGTTGGGGTTGGGGTTCTCCCGGTCCGAGCCCATAGTAGTTACGCCACTGATCTCGCTGTCCCCCTGTGTTATGTGTAAACTCATTAAGACCCAATTCACACTAATCTGCTCTATTTCAAAGCTCAATATTTTGGCGTGAGCATGCTCTGGACCCACTAGAAAACTTGTGCATATACGGCGCTCGACTTGTGGCTCTGGCAATTTTACTAGGGGGGCCTTCGAAAAGTTTGAACCGGGGGCCCCTTGATATAACCAGACTATTTTGCATTGTTTGTTGTTAATACATTTAAATGCAATTCATCCTAACACTCCCCACCTTCAGTACTTTGATAGTTAATTATCAGATATTTTACTCATCAAGATGAGTGTTGGTTATTGAAAGGTTAATAATTAACCGCAAAAGCTGCTGTGTTGGCATATTTAGAAGCAATGTGCCCTACTTTTAGTACTTTGTTATTTTATTAAATATTTGTTCCATTAATGTTCCAGACTCTCCACTTAACAAATAAAATTGTCTGTCATTAGACATATAGTAAAACATAATGATTTGGCATTTGACAGAGTAAAGTTGTTTTCCGTTAGACAGCGTAAAATAATAAATTTGGTGCAAAAATGCTTGATGGAAATTTGGCTGCAGAATATAGGGTATAAATTTTCTGTCAGTATAATCATTTTTGTCAAATCTGGCAAAATCTTGACGTTTGAATTATTTCGTCCTGCAGATGATAGAAGTTGTAGAAGGATCTGGCATGTTCTGGAATTGCCACCAGTTGGCATATTGCTCTGCAAGATTTTCTAATGAAGGCCCTACACCAAGTCAGGTGATACAAAAAATAAACATGAAAAGTGTAGAAGCCAGGCGTCCACAAAGAGTTTGAATAGTCTGTAGTCAAGCCCACAAGTTGAGAGGACTGAGGACATTATAGATACCAATACATTTATATAGATCAATAAGCACTTAGCAATTGACATTATTGCATGTTTGTATATATAGTTATACCATGGTAATTTAGTTAGACAAACTTTGCAAGTTCATTAAGAAATAGTAAATTAGTTAGCAATTTTGTAATTATTTGTTTATTTATTAACTATGTTATTTATTTGTGTATTGTGTTTTTGAAGATTTTTTGCATGTTAATAAAACTATGTATGCCACCAGTACAATTTTCTTGAGCTGTAGCAAGTATATTTGGAATGGTATGGCCACTTGTTTTCATCCCATACCAAACCCACATGTGATAGCATCTAGCATTTGGATGTTAGATGTTAACATGGGTTTGGTATGGGATGAAAACAAGTGCCCATACCATTCCCAATATAATATGATAATTGTTGCACCCATATCATTCCCATAGTTTATACATCAAGAACCATATGAATTCCATATCATGTTCCCAGATCATTCCCATATCACGGTGGGCATAAAAGACAGCGAATTTGGCCAAGTACATATAATTTTCTCTCGTTAGTTTGGAATATCACGAAACTCCCTCACAGGATAGAAATTAACATTCCTAGAAATCGTATGTTTTTTGTTTTTCGATTTTGTTACATTTTGGCGGGAAAATGACGTGCCAACTTTGGCGCCAAAAAAATAAACACGAGCTAAGAACATGCTAGTAACTTTTTCGAAAAGATTGTCCTGTAAGGATCTCAAAATTGTAAAAACATTAAAAATACAACAAGACAGTGCGAAGATATGGCGATTCAAAGTTCGAAAAAAATCCATTTTTAGTAACAAAATGGCTGATTTTTCAGTAAAAATAGAATTTTGAATCGCCATATCTTCGCACTGCCTTGTTGTATTTTTAATGTTTTTACAGTTTTGAGATCCTTATAGGACAGTCTTTTCGAAAAAGTTACTAGCATGTTCTTAGTTTGTGTTTAATTTTTTGGCGCCAAAGTTGGCACGTCATTTTCCCGCCAAAATGTAACAAAATCGAAAAACAAAAAACATACGATTTCTAGGAATGTTAAGTTCTATCCTGTGAGGGAGTTTCGTGATATTCCAAACTAACGAGAGAAAGTTATATGCACTTGGCCAAATTCGCTGTCTTTTATGCCCACCGTGATAGAATCCTATCTTACCCATAGCAAAGTTGTTATGAAATGATATAAGGAACCCATGTATTTCCCATAGTAAGTGATATGGGATATGTATGGATTTGTACCAAATACGTATCAAACCCATATCAAAAACATGATATGGGTATGCTATGAAGGCAACCAGGCCACACCAAAGCCATATACTTCCCATATATGGCCCATAGGTTGAACCATATCAATCCCATAGTTGGTCCATATATGTCCCATATAATTTGGTTTTGTAAGGGCGTTTCAAAATGTTACTTTTTCTTGTTAATTATGCCACGTTTTGGGTGTGTCAATGTAAACTTTTCAATTAAATATGTCAAAGATTTGCGCACATTTAAGGTATCTGCCCAGGCAATTTTCCCTCCCATTTAATCTGATACTACGGCCACAGCTTGTTGTGCATAATACTTAAACTTTCCAGAATCAAAGTACTTTTCTCGTCTTCAGTATCAGAAAACTTTCTGCTTCCCCTTGCTGTATTGCAAACAAGTTAATAAAGTTACAAATTAACTAATAATTGAGACAACACTTAAGTTTTTCACGTAAGATATTTATAAAGTACATGAAAATGTGAACAGCTATGTTACATTAACAAAGAAAGCAATGAAATTCTGGAAGTGTATCATGCAACTATTATTAGAAAAATATTTACTAAGGATCAATTATGCCTTCTGGAAGGTCAAATTTTGAACATACCTAGCTGTGTGTAATTGCCTTCGTCACACATACACTGCCAAGGTTGCATTTGACTGCACCTTCTCAAATAGTATACAAATATTCGAAGGAAAAAAGTCTTTATTGTTCTCAAAAACTTACATTTTGTGCACACACACATTTTGTGAACACGTAAAATTTGAAACAAATTGTGTCTGCAGCATCTAAATGAACAAGAAAAGCTGAAATTCTCTCGATTATACCTCAGCTGTTTTCCACCATGTTTTTTGCCGGGAATGATTACCGTATACTCAATTGAGCCCCGGCTATAAGGACCATGATTTACTTGTTTACTCGTTGCTAAGGAAGCCATCTTGTTTTCACTGATGTTACTCATGATTGCTCAACTTCCGTTTGACAACATCCGGAAACCCAGGTACTTCATGTAAATTTCAATTTTATATTCAATATTACATTCCCAAAACCTTTGCAAAGATGGCCCCTTCAAAGAAACAAAAGATTTCCAAAGCTGAGAAGAAATTATTAGCAAAAGAAAAATCTAAGAAAGCACATGCAGCAAGAGGTTTAGGGACTGGTAGCCAAAATAATTTCATGCTTCCGTCCAACTGGAAGGAGAAAACATATGATAACAACAAGCGACTACGTTTTGTAAGCCCTGGGAAAACCGAATACAAAATGCAGAGGGGTGTAGAGAAAGCTTTAGTATCGAGAAATTTGAAGGATTGCTTCAAAAACCTTCCTGAAACGTATTAAGAGGAAAGTGTAGGTGATGATGATTAAGATTATGTGCCAAGTTCAGAACAAAATACATCCATGGTTAGGTTTAATAAAGACAATCAAAATGTAGAAAGAAGATTATTTGTGTGCTCAGGTTGCTGACCTTGTTAATCAAATCAACAAGACTTCTAAATGCTCCACAAAAGATTGTAATGGTAGGTGAACATTGCATTAATTATTTATTAAATACACTCTATGTCAACACAACTTCTTAATATAGTAAATTGTATTTGGATGTGTCATTAAAACTTGTCATAATCTCATGTAGATAAATAAAAAATGTATTGTTAGGAAATGAAATGTTGGATTAGATTTATTAAATTTGTGAGGTATTTATCAAAAATTTTCTTGAAGTTAAGAAATTAAATGGTAAACGTTTTTGGGACACTTCTGACACATGACTGGCAGTGGGTCAATAAATTGATTAGTATCTCATTCTCTCTTTTCCATCAACAGGCATTCTCATGGTTGCAAAGGTCGAGACAATAGGACTGGGTGGAACCCTGAAAATTGCATTCAGTTGCAACGGTTGTGATATGCGGACGGTAAATTTTAATGGTTTGGCCCTTGTTGAAGGTTCCAAACGTACAGTAGTTGGTCTGGCTTTGGCAGTGGCATTTTTTATTACAGGACATGGCTATGCTAAGTTTTCTAGGACACTTCGTCAATGCTTGGGAATAAGCTGCATTTCTAAGAATCATTATTATGAGATAATAAAGCTACTCTACCCACATGTGCGAGACATTTTGAATGAAATGTATGATGACAAAGGATGACAGTGAATTAGGAAGTTGAAAACGTGCAGTTGTTACATCTGATGGAGTATGGCATAACCGTGGATATTTTAGTAAAAATGGATCATTTATTGTAAAGAATTACTTCACAGGGGGTATTTTATGGTATGGGCATAAATGTATGCGAGGTAAAGATGACAATATAGATGAAGAGTTATTCGCAGGAACATCTAAGCAATGGAAGGATGTCTGGCTGAAGAGTGCTACAAGGAGGCCAAGGATGAAGGATGTGATGTTGAAGTCGTTTGGCAAGATGTTGACTCAAGTGCAGCAAATGCAATCAGCATGCAAGTGGCATCCGAAAGGTGAAATTTACAAGTTTGGTGGGAATGTGGGTAGAACTCATTGCAACAAGCTCAAAGAAGTAGCCAAGCAAAAGGAGTTTTCAGCTACCTTGAAAAAGAAATACCAAGATCAGTTCCCATCAGTCCCCTTTTATTTTACTCATCAATGGGGAAGCTCTGCAGCTTAATGGGTTAACCATGTAAGAATTTGACAATGTCTCTATTTTACCCATTGAGCTGTAATGTGCCCTGCCTATTTTTTTACTTGTCTAACACCAGACGATTTTACTTGTCAGTGGGGAAGCTCTACAGCGTAATGGGTTAAACACTTTGAGTGGAGAGTATATTTATTGTTTTGAATGTTAATTTATGACCAATACAAGAAATTATTCTGGGATCTATATCCCGATCTATATAAATTTTTAAAAGAATTTAAAAATTTAATTTTGCAAAAGAACAGACAGGGACACTGGAAAAAGTATGAATTATAGGTGGAAGTGGATGTAATGTTGAAAATATATATGTGAAATTTTCTATATATTAATTTAATAATTTTCAAAAGTAATGGGTGAGAAAAAATGTAGAAAAAAATGTTTACCATTTTTTTGGTGAAATATTGTTATGGAAAATCCCCCCCCCCTTTTTTGGCAGGAAAAGATTCCAGCTGCCCCTCCCCTCCCCCCCCCCGCCACATTTTTCAGAAACAAAATATTAATTTGTCATTGAAATGATTTGCCCTTATGTTGACATTGCCCCCTGTGCCATATACTCGCTCTGGTGTCCCTGGTGTTTATTACATTCATATGTTTAATGATAAGAAATATTGTCTTGTTGCTGTCTCTCCATTTACAGGTTACATTATATAACATCAACAAACTGTGGCCTTTGTCAGGGAAACATGTCATGGTGTTTCAAAATAGAGGTCCAAAATACCACTGGCTTATAGATCTTTACGACAGAATTCACCTTCCAGTAATACCTGCAGTCATTGAAACCCTTCAGAAAGAGGTTGCTGCTAGAATGAAAGAGGTAGGTAGAGGTAAAACAGAAGGCAAAAGAAGGGCAGAATCTGCATGAAGGTTGCTAGAGCTGAAGACCAAGAAGCAAGGAAAAAGTGGCTTAAACGAAAGGAGCTACATCATTCGTATGGCACCAATGATGCAGATGAAGGAGTAGAAGAGGATGAGGATGACCCAAATCTCATTGCTGGTGCAGTAAAGGCAATTACAGGAGCTGAACAAAGTTGCGGGACATTGACTGTTGTAAGTGGGAAAAGTTGTCGATGTGGGTCAAAAGAGCACCGCCGAACATCACACTCCCTGTGTCCTTTAAATCCAAAAAACAAAGGAGACTGAACATTTGTTTTCTATATAACATATAATACTAAGTATAGTGTAGTTATTTTTTTCCTTTGTTCTGTTTCTTTACTGGCCAACTAGCATTGGATAAGTCACCAATGTTTACCTTGTATACCTAAATAATAAATAAAAATGGTGTTATATGGTAATAAAGTTTTATATACTACTTTATAACCTAAATAAACAACATAGTATGAAAACCACACCTACCCTTGGATGGGTTGGATCGACATGATCTGCCAAATTTCCAGGTATTATTTCCCGGATAACAGCCTTTAAGGTTTGGGGGTACACATATGTTGGCTTCCCTCCTTCGACATCGGAACCAAGGGATTTCTTACTTCCAAACTAGAAATATGACATTGGTCCAATTTACTGATATATTGGAGTATTCATTATATATTAGCATATCATATAAAAAGCATCATTGACAATTCAGTAAACAATATAAACTGAGAGATAAACAATAAAACACAAAAAGTGTATTAGGCCCTGTTCACATGAACCCGGGACAGTGTTTAATATTTAACAGTTTATGGCATACCTGAAGTTAATTAATGCGCAAGTGTCAATCAAAAAGCATGCAATTTGTACATTGCAAGAATTTGTGTGATTGTGTTGAGACGGGGCGAGAATAAATATATTTTTCATAAAAGCGTTTGAAATCTCTACTTTTAGTGAGTTGTTGTGAATATAGGAGGCAATTCACGACACAGTGGCACCTCCGAATGGGATTAATCATGAGTTAGCTCGAATCAAGAGCAAAAAACCTGTGCTTGTTGTGAAGAATCGACATCAATTGTGAAATAATATATTTTATATATTCTCGAGTATAAGATGGATAAACAACTAAACGAACTCGCGAGCAAAGTAAAAGCCCTGAGATTTAGGCAAGGAAAAACCGAAGAAATAATGGCTAAACAAGACCGGCAAGCGTCTGAGCGTCAGCAAGAATCTATTGACAATGTCACCAAAGCGATAATCAATCTTAAAGAGACCATAGAAGAAAAGAAATTTTCCAAGGGCGAGAGCGAAGAAGACGTCGCAGAATGGGCTAAAGAATACGAAGACGAACTTGCTATAGCGGACGAAAATGTACGAAGATTGGCTCAACAAATTAAAGAAATCGATCGCCGAGAACAACACGAGAAGGCAGTGCAAGATCATAAGAAAAACCTTGAATTTGAGCGAGAATTACTCGAGCAAAAAGCTGAATTTGAGAAAGAACACGAGAAAGAAAAAGCAAGCGAAGCAGAAAATAGCGAACAATGTAAACAAAATTCTGCCGCTAAATTACCGAAGTTACCTATAACAAAATTTGACGGCAAATTCGAATCATGGCTACCGTTTTGGGGAAAATTTACGTCGGAAATCGAATCAACGAAAATACCAATCTTAACGAAGTTTGCCTACTTAAAAGAATTACTTGATGAGTCTGTACGTCGTGACATTGACGGCCTGCTATTTACCGAAGCGGGATACTCAAAAGCCAAAGATATTCTCGAAACTGAATACGGACAGTCAGCTGAAGTTGCGAACGCATACATAGTAAATATCACCAATCTACCGGTAATTTCAGGGACAAATCCTACTAAGATACACGATTTCTATAAACAACTGAGATATAACGTTCAAAGTCTTGATACACTTGGCAAATTAGATGATGTGAGAGGAAATGTGCGAGCAACTTTGGACAAGTTAAAGGGAATAAAAGCATACCTAGTACGCGGAAATGAAGGCTGGCAGAAATGGAGCTTTGATGATCTTCTAAAAGAGCTGAAAAAGTGGAAAGATATCAATCCGATCGAGTAAAAATTAGAGCCAAAAGATCAACTAAAAGGCGGGAAAGGTTCAAGATCGAAGTTTTTCCATGCAAAGGATTCGGGATGCGACACGCGAGAACGAGGTTGTGTATACTGCGATGATACCACGCAAAGAAAAAAGATTCTGGCGGAAAAGAGAGTATGCTTTAATTGCACAGGAAGTCAACATCGTGCTGTCAACTGTAAAAGCAAACTCGGATGTCAGAAATGTAACAAGAAACACCATACTTCAATCTGTGAGCAATCAGAACAACTCTTAGTGAATGGAGGTCATATGAACACGCGCGTTACGCACCCAGTGGTTATAGTGGAAGTTGAAGGTGTTAAGTGCAGAGCCCTGCTCGACACCGGGGAAGGCAGTTCCTACGCGTCGGCAGCACTTTTGGATCGCATTCCAAAGCGGCCGTCCAAGAAAGAAATACGAAAAATTGATATGATGCTCGGCGTGACTACGAGGGAAGTCGAATTGTCGACCATTGAAATCAAGGGAACATCGGGTAAATTTTCTATGAAAGTCGAAGTCACCAAGGTGAACAAAGGAGAACTTGTGTTCATAGACAATCCGAGATATCAGAACATGATATAGCAAAACCCACACTTGAAAGGAGTCATCATGGAAGACATTGATCAGAAAGAGCGACTTCTGGTGCACATCATTCTCGGAGCAAGTGACTACGCAAAGTTGAAAACTGATCAGCCACCCAGAGTTGGTAATTCGGGGCAACCGATAGCTGAGTTGACACAATTTGGATGGACCATCATGTCCCCTGGAAAAGAATCCTGCGACGTGACCAATATGCTTTTGATTCAGACATCCCAGGCTGATTACGAAGAACTGTGTCGCCTGGACGTCTTGGGTTTGAAAGATACACCCACCAACGACCAGCACAGTGTATTTGACGAGTTCAAAGGACAACTCACCCGGGACCCAGCTGGTTGGTACGAAACAGGGCTACCGTGGCGCGGCAACCATCCTGTATTACCCAACAACGAAGCTAATAGTTTGCGACGATTAGCAAGTTTAACGAATAGACTCGAGCGGCAAGGTTTGACAACCAAATACGGGGAGATAATGGAGGAACAAAAGGCAGAGTGGATAATTGAGAAAGCTGAACTGCGGAGCGTAGGAAGAGAATTCTACATCCCTCACAAAGCAGTTATTCGACCTGATGCAGAATCCACAAAAATCCGAGTCGTCTATGACGCTTCTGCAAAAGCACATGACGGTGTTCCATCGCTGAATGAGTGTCTACATCCAGGACCTCCATTGCAAAATAGAATGTGGGATGTATTAGTTAGAGGACGGTTTCATCCAGTAGCTTTGACGGGTGACTTGCAAAAGGCCTTTTTGCAAGTACGTATTTGCGAAAACGACCGAGACGCGCATCGATTTCACTGGCGGAAAGATCAGCAATCAGAACTAAAGACCTTGAGATTTACCAGGGCACTTTTCGGGCTTGTATCATCTCCTTTCTTGTTGGGGGGAGTCATTGATGCACACCTGAGTAACTGGGAAGAAAGAGAACCGGAAGTAGTAGCAAAACTGCGTGAAGAGTTGTACGTGGACGATTTGATAACGGGGTCAACATCAGTATCGGAAACGGAAGAAGTTAAAGAGAAAGCAACAACTATTTTCGAGGATGCGGGGTTTAAGCTTCACAAATGGCACTCGAATGAGCGTGAATTAGAGACGACACAGTCTCAAGACGGTGATCCTACCTATGCAAAACAGCAGTTAGGGATCCCAGAAGAGTAGTATAGGGAATGAGGGTTCTAGACCACTTTTTCGGCCCGCGATCTCACCCAACTTCCGGTCAGCGGTTTCCATATTTTTCCCCTCAACCAACGCGGGCTCATCTGTTTTTCTAGACCATTTTTCTATTATTTTTGGCATTATTGTTTCTATTATTTTTGGCATTATTTTTTCTATTATTTTTCTATTATTTTTCAGCATTATTTTTTCAACATTATTTAACAATTTACTTTTCCTATTGAGTGGTGTCCGTACGCGTAACTTGTAACACCATCTTCAAGTAGGTATCTTTTGTCATCGAAACAGCTGAGTGTAATTTTCTTTAGCTGGTAGGTTCCAATCTTATGCTTGATGCTTCGGATTGTGTTCATCTTATGTCTCATCCTACCTTTTGTCTTAATCACGTTCTTGAAGTTTTCGTGAATGAGTTTGTTTCTGATCACGTACTTTTTCACACCTTTAGCTGTCATTCCACCTCCACCACTCTCCTTCACGTAAGAGTACATCTTTGACCTCAACCCTACGAATTCAATCACCGGCACTCCCTCAGCTTCATCCTTAAACTTTCCAATTACCTTTTTGTTATGAGCTGAGTAATATGGAGAGTCTTTCGGATAATCTGAGTTGTCCCAACAATCTTTCTCTTCACCGATCCTCTTGAAGTCCTCGTACACGTCATCAGTCTTGATCTCATACATTAGACTGTCAGTGTCTGTGAAAAGGAACTTCGACTTGTCACCGTACTCCTTTTTGATCGTGTTGTAATGGAAGTCGTACATTAGAGTCTTAGACAAATCTAAGATACTCATTTCCACATAACACGGCTTGTTTAGGGTTAACACTTCCTTCATTCTCTTTACCACGATCAGGCTCTCATTCATAATCCTATGTGACTGGAAGCATGGAGACGCCGTAAGTTTAACGAGATCATTTTCCGACGACACTAGTTTCACATCAACTCTTTTCCTTAGATTCTCCATAGTCTTTCCGTAGATGGAATTGTTCATTAGCTTGAAGAAGTTTTTCTCGAACGCATTCTTAGCGACTGATCGTTTTTGAGTATTGAAGTCAATATACTTTTTCAACCAAGTTGACTGCTTGAAGGAGACTGCTTTGTGAACCTTCACAAGTTTCATTCCGAGTTCCATGTAGAGTTTCAGATTCCTAACATGTAGAACGTAATTCTTCCTGGGACCTAAGGAGTTTACCAGTTTCCGCACACCTCCAATTGTCAGCTGGAATTTATCGGCAATATCCTTAGCATAGTCTGATAACATTGACACATCGATCTCCTTACTTTCTGGAGCTAGAGGATAACCATTATGTATATCATGAAGTTCTTCTGGATATTCCATATCAACCTCAAGAACCATACCCCTTCCACTGTCTCCTAAGTAGTCATCAATATTTATTTTATCAACTTCCTTGATCCACTCAAACTCTCCATTTGGAAGAGGTTGAGACATTGCCCAGCCGTATAAATTATTGGCGTCAAAGTACATAAGGAACTTGTTTTCAGCTTCTTCGTCATACGTTTCCATATACTTATTATTCGCTGTGGAGTGTCTATGAGCAGTATGACTTACCCCACCTCTCATTCCTTTCTCAAAGAACTGGAACATATCCATATCGCTTACCAATTCTATTTCCTCACCTGACTGCTTTAAGAATGCGTCCCAACTTAGACTGGGTGCTGAGATGTAATGAGCAGGGTCAAGCTTGTAATTCTCCAGGCAGGTCTTCCTGAAATTCTCAAAGACATCCGCTAGCAGAAGAACGTCAGTCTCAAGATAAAGATCATGGTAGTCTCTCATTGTTTTCATTCCAAAGTGATCCCAAACTTTTTGAGCTCTTTCGTAATCTTCATCTTTCACTTCAGATTCATACAGAGACGAATAGAACTTGTCTTTACTTGGAAGCCCCTCAGAGTCTAGTTTACTTATGCTATCCAAATATTCATATGGAAATATACCTTTCTGTCTTACAAGATCGAAGTCCTCTCCTTGCCACCGCTGACCGACTATCTTGAAGTCCTCAGGTGAAAGGTTATTCACAAGTGCCTCCAGAGATGAGGCCATGAATTGTATTGAGTCAATAAACACAAGACTTTTTCCTAATGAGAAGGAAATGTATTTCTCCATGTTATTTGGGACAACGTTAATGTTCATCTTAAACTTGCCAATCTCCTGCATTATCAGGTGGCTATCGTATCCTCTTAGATTGTGGAAGACCACCGGAACATTCCATGTAATTCTGTATTTCAAGTTACACATATTATGAGCAGCTCCACGGAACAGTCCTGTTACATGATCATGGTCTCTCACTCTGTCATCCCCCAAGTCGTTGCCGCAGATGGAGCAGTTTCTTGTCATCCAGAACTCAGCTTCTTGTTCAGGTGTGATTACCATCTTTTTCTTGAAGATTTTGTTCACCATTTCCCGGCACCTGATAGACTCCTTCAGAACTGTCTTCAGAAAGACCTCTGTAGCGTCTGCACCAACATAGCTCGTATATTCACCTGAGTACTGATCATCATAGTGACACACTGTCTTCAACCCAAAACTACAAGCTTTAATTATGTGTCTGGTAAAGCTCTGTTGTGCTTTTCTCCTCAGTGCCCTCAGATTCCACTTTTCTTTCTTCAGGAACAAGCATAGATTCAAAGTCAGCATAGATTACAAATGGAGCAGGCATTGAATTTCTATAATGACCGAACTTTATTTTTGAACCGGTGTTGGGAAGCTTCGTGGCCTGAGTTCCATTTACACTAACACATGTCTCACTATGTTTCTTTAATGTTTCCTCACTAGTGCAACTATGAAGACAATACAAGCAGAAGTGCTTCTTGTTCGAGTTACCGCTAACACTGAAGAGCATTCTATTTACATCCTTTATTAGGACATAATGATTACCACCGTTGTTGTCACCTAACAGCAGCAACTCCATATGTTCATCATATTTAGTCTTTGAGTTCCTGATTGGGTAGAACTGCTTTTTGCCCTTATAACCGAATATAGATATACTTATTGAATTTCTTCTTTCAATTTTGTCAATATCACTTATCTTGACAGGGAAGTCTATACCTTTATAATCTAGGTTCTTCGCGAACTCCCTATCTTGCTTTGTAATAGCAGTTGCCCTCCTAGCCTTTGGCCTCAAATGTCTCACATGACTCCACATAAAGCATTTCTCATCCATGTTTTGCATATTAATTAAGCCGCATTTTGGATTGCTAATGTCTGCGGGTAACTTCATATATGAACTACCCTTGAGAGGTTTGTACATTGCAATATTAACATAATGGCTCTCAATGTTCAGAATAATCCAATTTGAACCTAAGTTCTGGAAAGTTTCAATTCTGGATAAGATAGTCAGTTGGTTCTGAGCTGCAGTGCTTTCAATATCCTCAAAGTTAGTTGCAGTTCCAGTTTTTGACTTAAAGTACACTGAATCCTTCTTTGTTTTATCATTTCCGATTTCCTTAGACATTCTCACCTTAATTGTCTCCGTATATTTTAGACCTCCCATTCTCTTCAACTCGTTAACTAAAATTCCCCTCACAACCTGCCTACTTGCTGTCATCTGGTCCAAGGGATCCATAAAGTTTGGAGTTATTGAGTAAGTCACCGCTGCACCATTTGCGGCAGTTTCTATCTTTCTATAAGAAGGCTTCTCAAGATATGTTCCAAATGGATCAATCTCATGTTTCTCTGGTGTGACCACTGCGGGCTGTTCCTTAACTTCTTTCGTTACCTTCACAGGCTTTCTTAACTTTGGAGGAGGCACTGGCTTTTTAGTCCTTGGCTTAGGAACAGGTCTTTCTTTAGGGAACACTGTCCTTGGCTTAGGAACGGGCCTCCATGGAGTTGCGCCTTTCGGTACCTCAGGAGCTTTCCTTGTTGGTCTTCTGCTTAGGTCCACCGTCACCGTGTACTTATTAGGTCCCACCTGAGTTATCACACTATCTGCAGGAATCGAGAGTTTTATTTTATTCTGACTCATAAACCTTTCCGCGACTGTTTGCCTTTTAACCTTTGGTGGTCTTCCACGTTTCTTTGGGATCGCAACTCAGCCTCAGACTTAACCTTTACTGGTCTTCCACGCTTCTTTGGAATTACTTCAGTGTCAGCCTTAGCTCTTGTTGGTCTTCCACGCTTCTTCGGGATCGCAACCTTAGCCTTAGATTTGGCCTTTGGTGGTCTTCCTCTGGGACGCTTTGGATTCCTAATGTTCTCTAACCTCTTCATTTCCGCATTTACCTGAGGATCATCTGTTCTCCATCTACCTCCCATTGTTGGTGGTAAACCCTCAACTCCCTGACTAAGTAGACTCTGATATGCCTCCTCAACTAGTAAAGCCTTTGCCTTCTGTCTCTCGGAATATTTCCACGTCGGCATAATTCCCCTCTCACCCTTCTCATTCAATGGTCGTCTTCTTGCTCGTCTGGGGTCAGTAGAGCGGTTTCCTTCATCTATGAATTGACTTTGTCCTTCAAAGGGGTCTTTGCCCTTATCCTTGGGTGCAACTCGGTAGAATTTGTCCTCAAATATTTTCTCCACTTCATCCTCGAAACTTTCCTCGTAGTCGCTATCATTAACTATCTCACTAAGTGCCATAAGCTGTTCAACGGTCATGTTGTTCATGTCAAAGTTTGTCGCCATTTTTTTACTCTTTCTCTATATACTATAGGTAAAAAAAATAGGCCTATTTAAAGGCCTATTTAATTTTTATTTAATTAATAATTTTTATTTAATAATTTAATTAATAATTTAATTAATAATTAATATTTTATTTAATTTAATATTTTAATATTTTATTTAATTTAATAATTTTTATTTTATTTAATTTAATAATTTTATATTTTATTTAAATTTATAATTAATATTTTATTTATGTCTGAATTTCCAGTTATTATAATATTTACAATTTATAGGTTTCCATCCCAACTCGGGGAAGACTCTGCCATATAACCTATTCTCAAGGATGTCCACAATTCTTTTGGTCTTAATGTCCTCAGGAGGGTTTCTCAGCGTGATGTTGTTCATGCTGGCTATCCTCAGTAGGTAAAACTTATATCTAACTATGTTGCGCCCCCTTTGCAGTCTAAGTCTTTGTATACATCTTACGATGCTTCTAAACTGCTCCCGTATGGTATCCCTATCCCCAGAAGCAACATGCTCTAATAAGTGTCTCTCGAACCAACGGACTCTGTTATGACAAGACTTCTTTTTCAGATAGTCGTCCTTGTTGTGGTTGTAACTAACATAGTATGTAAAGCCATTCCTATCACTTGTGCCGCATTGTGTGCATGTATCTGCTCCGTCTATCACCACAATTGACTTACTACCACATTCACTACATACTGGCTCGTGTGTGTGTTTGACCTTCATTTTATTTCTCACATATTTCATTACTGCAGCCTCTAGCTCCTCAATGTTGTTTGCGTTCTTACCGACTCGTTCCATTTCATCAGGTGTTACCAGTGTCAGCCAGTCCATTCCCTATACTATATGTGTTAAAATTTTCTGCTTGTTTTTGTGGTTTATTTTTACGCCTCCTTATTCTCCATTCCACATATTTTTTAACTGCGGCCTCTAGTTCTTCTATGGTGTCCACCCTTTTTCCCAGGGCTACCACTTCGTCAACGTCTACCATTGCAAGCCAATCCATTTCTCTATATTATATATGTAAAAGAAAATTACCGTATTTTATAGAATTAAATAAGCTGCCCCTCCAACCACCCCACCTGTAATTAAACCAAAGATTGCCATATATTCTTCCATCTCAGAGCTAGGTTTGTAGTGATTGCTTAATTGTGGTCTTCTCGGCATAGCTTTATGTGTAAGCTCATTGATTCTTCTAACGAGTTCCAGTGACTTGTTTGTTGAATTAATATCCCTATTTGCCTCGGCTAGTTCCGACTTTAGTTCAGCAATCCTATTTCTTCTATCAGTGACCTCTTCAAGGTACTTCTCTCTTTCAGTTGTTAGGTTCTCCATTGCAAGGTTATGTCTATGAGCTTCCTCTGCGAATCCATTCTTGTCGAACATTTTAAATAAGAATCCTGCTCCAGCAAATGCAAATGCGTTAAATAGTCCTCCTGCTACTGCTCCCGCCATTGTATAGTCTTACTTAGGTTTTGAATGGATCATCTGGTATATACTTCTTTTCTTTCAGGTAGGAGACTAGTAGAGATGAGAGGCTAACTGAGACAGCTAGCTTTACCATTCCTTTTACGTTCTCTGGGGTTCCTAACGGTTCTTTCAATAGTTTTTTCGATGCCATTGATATACCAACTGCTCCTGCTGTAAGTAACACTGCGTTGTACACTTCCGCGGTCATCTTTGATTCTTTACTCATCTTGCTATAATATATATTATGTTTAACGTATCATTCAAGTGAATCTAACTTGGACGCATCAGCTTTCCTGGTTACTTCTACAGTTTCAGGGGTGTACTTAGGTTCTAGTTCTTTGGTTTCCCTTTGATGCGACTTATATGCTAGGACAAGAGATACCAATGCGATGACCACTCCTACATATGCGATCATGTTATTGCTGGATGACTCCTCAGGTTCTGCAAGTTTCTTTTTCCTCTCCTTTGCTATTTTACTGATTGCGGCTAATCGTTTTCCTGCAGCTACTCTTTTTGGGTCCTTCTTCTTTTCACTTGCTACTACTTGAGTTTGCTCAGGTTTATCTTCCATTCTACTTGTAAGATACCTTAGGTTTAACTGGGTTTTATCTTGTGAGACATCTAGAGTCTACTTGTGAGATAACTTAAATTTACTTGTAAGATATCTCAAATCTACTGGTGAGATAACTTAAATCTACTGGTGAGATAACTGGTGAGATAACTTAAATCTGCTGGTGAGGTATCTCAAATCTACTGGTGAGATGACCTGACTAGCAGTAACTACGTTACTGGTCACTGCTAGCGCAGCTAGTACTTACCTGAACTGAACCTAGGTCTGTACAACCTTACAGCGCACTGTGTGTTGTTCACTGTGACCTTCTTTGCGACCTTCTTAAGTGAAAAGTATTCGTTGATTCTAATGCAAGTTTTTACAAGGTCATCTGACACCATCACCATGTAACCTATCTTCATAAGTTTGTGGAACCATAACACTTGTTTTTCACTTGCGACTCCGGTGCCTTTGGGAGACTTGAATTCAATAGCAAATCCTTTATACTTCCCCATAGGATTTTCTATGATAAGATCTGGTTGACCACCTTTATATCCCTTCTTCCAGGCATCACATCTCTTTGACACTGTATCCTGATACTCACCTAGACCAGGTACTATCACAGCATTAGGGTAGTTATCTCTAATGTAACTCACAACTGCGTGATGAAGGTCCGTTTCATTTATAAGAATCATTTGGTTATATCTTAGTGACCTTCTATCTAGTAATTCATATGAGCCTGTTTTGCGGATAGATGGTAGGACTTCACTAAATACCCACCTCCTAAACTCCTTTGCTGTGTTAAGCTCTGATCCGAAAATTAACTGGTACAAACCCTGTTCTGTAATTAAAATAGAACCAGGCTGACCTTTCAAGGGGGGTCCCTCGAGGGCACCCCTTTGGATTGACCCTAGAGTGCACTTATCCTCTTCCCAAACATGGTTTCTAATTGCTTTTTTCGTGTTCGAGTACCCTAGAGATTCTGCCACATCTTTTGCATAAAACAGTACCTCCTCACCACTCTTAACAGTTCTCACGCTAACATTCAACTCCTGGTTCCTGAATAGTTTTTCCATCATTCCCTATACTATATATGTAAAAATTTTTGGGCCTTTTTTATGGCTATTTTATTTTGATTTATGAAGCAGCATTCCCTCTTCCCACCCAGCCGCTTACTATTTACATCCTACAGCAAATAAAATACTAAACTCCATGAAGGTTCTTGTATATCTTTACTACTGTTTTAACTGTATCATCTTTAAAGTTGTAGAAGTCATTCTGGAGGGGTAGTATGATCTTATTCCTAAGTGCATATAAGTCTTTTTCTATTGAGTCCAAAGTTTTTTGAAACTTATCCAGCCTCTCATTGCTAGCGTTAGTTTTCTCAATCAGTTCATTAATTATGTCTTCAAATTCAGTTCCTTCCCAGGGGTTTCCCCAATTGTAGGGCTCTCCAGGATGAGACATTCTTCTGTATTTAATAAGATATGTTTTGCTTCCTCAGATATTTCCTCAGGTTCCTCCTTCTTGTTCCACTTATGCGCAACAACATGCTTGGCTGTTGTACAACCACCTGATATGAGACCTATGAATGGAATGTTGGGGGATATCGTTCTAGTTAGATAACATACGTCATCTTTTAGAAGTTTATCACTAAGTAGTTCCTCTGACAGCTTCTCTGAAGATGCTACTGCACCGAAACTCCCCAGTATAGAAGCAAACTTTGAAATTATAAGTGTTGATAAAAAGTCACTTGCGCATGACATCCTTTGACTTTCGTACTCGTGGTATAGTCTATCCACAACATCCTTGTTGGACTTTCTTATAAAACTTGCGGACTTCTCTATTACACCATCCCTAGATAGCTCTATAAGCTTGTCTCTTTTGCTTTCAGTTTGCGACCTATCTGCGGCTGACTTAGTTTTTCTTGCGGTAGACTTAGCTTTCTTTTGCGGTGTCTTTGCGGCCTCTTCTACTTCCCTCACAGCTGCAGATATTTCTTCATCAGATTCAGATCCCATCTTTTATATCCTACGTGATGTTTTGTTTGATAGTGTATGTGTAAGGGTGAATAAGTAGTATATCTAGTGCGGTGAACTTCTTATCTTTTAGTATTTTTGTAATCTCCGCAATTGTCTCCTGAGGGACACCACTTAGGTAATCATCTGTTATCACCTTCATATCCCTACGACTAGGGTTTTAGAATGTAACTAGCCTGGAAATGTTCTCCCTGAATGGTTTTGCAATTGATGATAATTGTTGGGTAATTACAATAACTGATAGGTTGTAATGTCTTGCGGAGAATGCTAGACGCACCAGTTCTGAGACCCTTTTCTTTACATCTTGACCTGCAGCACAATCATCCACTATAATGAGCGTCTGGTTTCCGCGGAATATGGTGGACACTGCCTTGAGAATAAGATTGATCATTTCTTGTGAACATGGAATTTGTATGACTCCATGATTACTAATATGAGCCCAGTTAATGTAAGTCACATTCCATTCTATTGTTGGACATATAATAACAATATAATCAAAAACTTTATTGTACTCTATTTCTAGCATGTTAAGTAAGAACTGAGTTTTACCACTTCCAGTCATTCCTACTATGAGCATGTTGAATGGTGGTTCAAGTTGCATCTCTATGCTTTACCGTTGGTGCAAGCTAATATTGAATACTTGACAGATCTCTATTCGCAAAGTTAAGGAGGGCATCCGATACAACAAAAATGTTGCACTGAACGTCAGCTGTTGTGGCTTGCTTCTTGATTTCCATAAGTACTCCAGACTGTGTGTTGACAATCTTCCTTCCTCCTCCAGTGGTATCATCCTGACTCGTTCTAAGATCAATTACTAGAGCAAAACCGCTACTGAAGAACCTGCTGATAGACATAAATTCATCTGCCATAGATTTCTCACACATAGGACAGAAGAATCGTTTTGCCTCTTCGAAGAACCTATTTTTATGAAGTCCTTGGGAGAAGACCGCATTAGGCACACCTTCAATGGTTAGGTTCACTTTATCAATGTTTGGGTAAATATATTCTTCAGAATGAGTTCTCACTCTATTTGTGAACAGGAGGACAATTGCTGACATGCTCTTTCTGGGGATATTTATGTTTTCATTGACAATGGTAAGATCCTTATCCCAATTACTTGTGCGCATTAGTGTGACATGTTTGTAGGACAGTGAGCGGCCTGTTGAATACATCCTTGATACTTCACCTGCAAGGGCGTCATTTTCAATGGTCTCATATTCTAACTCAAGATTGTCCAGTTTATAATTACCCTTAGCTTCACCTCCTTGGGCAGTCATAATCTCATCTGATTGCGGGAGTGTGAGGATGTACATAGGATTGTTATTCGTGGAGAACGGTGTGTAGAGTCCATGGTCTGCAATTATCTTATCAATTGGTTTTCTAAGCTTAGATCCGTAAACGCTATGAAGAAGTCCATCTGCCACTTTATTAGCATCACCAACCTTTACACCTGAGTCATCGCCTGAGATTAGCTTCCTGAGATTCTCACTTGCAAGACCCTGTTCTGTCATCTTTTTCCTATCACCTAGTGTTAGCCAAAGATCTTTGTATATTTCGTACAAACTCTCTCCTGAACAGTCATAAGCTGTTTCACCTGCTACTTTAATCTGAAGACGTTTAGCGATTAACTTAGACAGGTTGTTATTAAAGTGGCTTTTTGTATTGGAATTCTTGAAGTCAAATAATAGTGCAAGTGATCCTGGAACTAAACAAGAGTCGGGTTTTAGCTTAGGGATGTTAATGTACAGCTCTTCACCCGGGCTGATAGTTGTTGGATTAAATGTTACAACACTTCTAGTTCTGGGACCTTTTACGGATGTCATACGGCTCCTCCTGAAGCCAGGCTGGAGTTCTCTTTCTGTGGTATTCATACTTGTATACAATATGTAATGTTTAGTTGTATATGTATACTAGAACTGCTGCTGCACAAACAATGATTATCCATATATTATCCGCTGCTAACTCTATCCATTGGCTATCTTCTGGAATACAGGTGGTAGTTCTATTTGATTGTTTACCAACTCACTGATTCCCTTATCGAGTTTTCCTGTTGTGTCACCTACTTTCCACAATATGTTTCTAGTTGATGCTACCAGTCCTATGATTACAGCTGATGAGGAAATTAGACCAGCTGATAAGATGCCTGCATTCTCCCTTGCCCATAACCTGAGCCTCTGCAGTCTCCTACGATCATCCCGTTTAATGAGATCCCTCTTTTTCACCTTATCTCTTAAGTTGAGAAGTTTATTTAAGTTTGACTCTCTTTGGTAATCATTTGATAGCATTCTGACGTACCTCAGTTCTTCCGACTTTTCTTTGAAACTATCTTCATCTAAATTTGGTAATATTAATTCATTTAAAAGTCTGTCTCCCCTATCCATTAGATCATCGTATGAGAGATTAGATAGGTCAGGGAATTTCTCAGCTAATTGCTCTCTCGATGGGTCTTTACTTAACATTTTCCTGCTTTCTTTGCTAAATTCGCTAATGCTTTTGCTACTTTACCAGTGACCTTTGCTGTCTTCACAATGGCTCCCCTAGCATGGATTAATAAGGCTATAATTAAACTAGCTGTTGACACTGCTATCCCTGCAAGTCCCACTTTCTCCTTTCCTACCCAGTCTATAAATCTACGTAATCTAGAAATGTCCTTCAGTTGTGCCTCTCTTGCTTCCTCTATTGTTCTCTGTTCTAGGGTTCGATCTCTAGCTTCCTTCAAACTGTCAATTCTTTCTATAAGGGAATTATACTCAGTTGTACCTTCCGCAGAGGTGGCGCGTTCCACGGTTTCACCAATAGCTTCATTAAAGTAGTCAGCTTGTATTTGCAATGCTCCATTGGGGTCTGTTCTGCCTTCTATACTTGATCCGTCAGGTGGGTTAAGTACCCCTCTCAGTTTATTATTTTCTTGCATTGTTAGCCCTGGAAGGTCTCCTAGTTTTGCACTTATATCAATTAACTCAATGTTCTCACGGTCAGCGTATTCCTCATCACTGGTATCAAATTGTGGCTCTTCTCTAGTATCCTCATAAACTGATTCATCACTTCTAATTATATCGTCAGGATTCGTAGGTACCTCTTTTATTTTCTTTATAAGTTCCTTATATTCTCTTAATGCAGTGGAGGTCTTTGAGTACACAAGTTTGCTGGTCTTACCACGTTTCATTATTTATGTCCCACTTCTGTCAATACCCTGTTCACTTCTAAATATCAACACTTCTGCGCCATCGTTGAGTGTTCTTACAGACGATTGTTTTATGAGTTCCCTGACATATTTATTCTTTGGGTCTAGTACTAGTCCCTCCTTATTCTTGATAACTCTTGCGACAGCTTGAACACGCTCTACTTGGTTTTCGAAATCTCTCTTTTTATTTGCTGTAAGCCGGTCTTCTCAGAACTTTTTCAGTTTCTTTAGGCGGGCTTCTATTTCGTCCCAGTCAGCGTCAAATGATTCGTTGAATGCATCTAGCACATTTGGAAGTACATTGTTTGGATCTTCCACAAAGTTGACTTCTGGGACAGTTGTGCTTCCTGATGGACCTGAAATGTTCACTGTACCATCATTTCCTTCGGTGAAAGTTGTTTCTTCTATTGCACGTCTCTCCATGAGATTCTTTACATAGTCCAGTTCACTTTTAAGATTAGTTATTACTAAAGGGTCATCACCATACATAGCCTCTCCCTTCACCCTTGTATCTAACCTACTAAAAGCTGTCGTAAGGTCATCATAATTTAGGTCGTCATATTGAGGATACGTCTTTTCTACCTCCTCCATCTCAGTATCATCGTGGTCATCGTAGTCCTCCATAATACTTTAACTTATGTTAGGGACTTGATGTCTCCAGCTGGGATCCAACTGTTAAATTTGTCATCATAACCTAACCACTTAATGAGAGCGATCTTTTTACCCTTCACTGTTCTTCTTCTTAGTACTTTCTCTATCTTAAAATCAGGTTCCCTTCCTTCAGCGCTATACAGTTCTTGTTCACAGAATCTACCAATTATTGGTTCATCAGAACTGTCTTTTATTGTATACGTGTTTGGATGACCGTGATACACTTCCGTCACAGTGAACAACTCCTCTGTGAAATTTGCTTCGTACCCTTTTGTGAACACTGATTTATACTTTGAAATTCTAACACTTTCTCCGACAGCAAACTTTGGTTCCGACGGCTTGCCTAAATTGTGACTAAAAAGTCTCTTCCATACTTCAGTCCAGTTGGAATCATTTACACTGTCTGGTGTTGTTTTAATTGATCTGTTCACTGAACTGTTGTAATTATCAGTTAAGTCTTGAAGGACGTCTAACCATTTATATGTACTGACACTATAAAAGTACTTCCACATTAGAGCCTTCAGTGTTCTGTTAAACCTTTCCACAACTGCGGCCTTTTTGTCTGAGTAAGTAGAGAAAAATTCAATGTTATGTTTATTAAGCAATAACTTTACTTCTTTGTTGTAGAACTCTGTGCCTTGATCAAACTGGGCGAATTTTGGGTATTTACCAAAGTGATTATTAAATTGCTCTAAAATGTTACTGACTGCGTCCTTCATTGATGTCGCGTTTTTCCTATACACTGGTACTGTAAATGCGTACCTACTTAGTATTTCAATGGATGTGAGAATCCATCGGTATCCCTTGTTCTTGTCGTCATATTTTGTCATGTCAACTAAATCCATTTGTAACTGTTCACCTAAAGTTTGAACGTACGTCTGTCTGAACTTATGTTTCCTAAACACTTGTCTGTACCTCGTGTATGTGTCCTGCTCATTTATCCATTTCATAACCTGGTTTCTGGTTACTTTAAGTCCGTCTGATATTGCTCTAAGATATAGTTTCTCTGGTGTCTGGAATCCAGTCTTAGGATTGTAGTAAATATCTCGTAGTCCCTGTTCTTTCATAATGTCATCGTCCATCTTATATTAACTAATGTAAGCTAACTACTCAAGGTACATCTCAAGTAGCACTTCACCTATATCAATAGGTTTCCCGTCTTGATCAGTCGTGTAGATTACAAGTTCTGAGAAAGAACCCTTAATAACTGATATCCTGCTTTCAACATCAATGTAACTAACAACTGAGCCTAATAATGGTCTGTCAGTTGGAACTGTAACACTTGTTATCACATCGCTGGGTCTTCCCCAAGGGTTAACATTAAAACTGTTACTAACTAGGTTGCAGTGTATATTTACGTATCGTAGACCATTATTAAAGTCAACTTTGCTATCACTTGTCAAACTCCTCCCTTTTAGTAGGATCATAGGATTATTAAATCTATTAAAGCCAAGCATTGTTAAAAACCTGTTTTCTATTGTAATGTCCTGCTTTACAGCTTCTATCTGACATCCTGCTGTTTCTGGAAAATATGTTAGTTTAACACCGTGTCTCTCAAGTAATTTTCTCATACTGTCAAATGTATAGTAGCCCTTGCTGACAATCGCGTCAGTATCACCACCAGCTGTTTTAACCTTGAGAATAGTTGTTGGTTCTCTTATATTGAAATACTCCCAGAATACTGATACTCTCTTCATAAAGACGGAATTATAATTACTTGTTAAAACTGAATTCTGTAGTGATATAATAGTGTGCGAGCTCTGGAGTAAAATTGTGAACTTCATCTTAATAACATACGTTAGGTTATTAAGAATGAGACTAGGTGGAGGAGACGTTGGGAAGTCACCGTATAGGTCTTACCAAGATTATGAAAAAAAGTATGGAAAGGAAGATGGTGAAGGTTATGTTGATCCAGTTGCTGGTAAAAAAGCTGAGAATGCCGAAAGGGCTAGATTTGTTAGAAAGTATCCTAAGGCTGATATGAACAGGTTTAGGTTTGAAGCCATGACTACCAGTAGTGGTGATATTGGAGTTGTTACATGGTTTGTGGATTTAGATGGTATAAGTTCATATGACATTAGATATGACGGTTTTAAGAAGGATAAGGAGTTTACATATTATCTCACAGGTACTAAGAAAATTATTACCCCCGCACAGTTTATACCTATGACTGATACAAAGGTTACAAAAAGTGAGATTCTAGGTTTAGTTGACGGTTGGCCTCTAAAGTGGAGGTTGGGTTCTAATGTAAAAGCTAAGTTAAACAACAACGATACATTTGATAGGTTTAGTTGGTTTCCAAAAATTGGGTGGAACACTCCTGCACATTCATTTAAGGTTTATGTGGACGGTAAAAGCTTCTTTGTAACTTCCGGGGAGGCCGGCGGAAATATGCTTCCTAAAATTGAAGACAGTATTAAGATTGA